TAATTTTAGTTCCCTGTATATTCACACACAGAATTGAACCAGTATGGATACTATAACTGCAAGGGCAAATCTGTGTGGCACGAAACCATCTCAACACACAGTGATCAGCAAGAAGGAAAAGGCAGGGTACAGAGTCGTGTGCTAAGCGCGCTTTCACTTAGAAAGTTTCTCTCTTTCATTTTTCCTAAAGGTCAGAGCAGGGGACAGTGGGGTTTCATCCATGTAACAAAGTGAAGTTCGTGGCTTCCTGTCTACTTGTGCACCCCATCATAAGAAAATGGCAGACTGATTTGCACCAAGATTTGAAGATATGTTTGCAATGGTCTGACTTAAAATACAGGTTGTTTGGCTGGTGAAAATTTCATTCTGGGGAGCCGGGGGAGGACGTGTCAGAGAGACAAGCAGTCTTGCTCTGGGGAAGCTGGCCCTGGTTAAGCAAGAGAGCCCACATAATTGCCCACTGGAAAACACACACACGGTGGGTTCAGGTCCAATGACAGAGGACACGGAGTGGTTTCCAGTGAACGTCCTAAATACAGGGTCACGAGGTGGACTCTTCAGAGGAAGGCCTGGGTGTGCAGGCCATGTGGGTGGGGATGGATCATGATTCTTCTCAGTGGAGTGGCTCTTTTAGCATTAAAATTCACGTTTGCAGACTCATCCGGATACATATGAAATGGGTAATAATCAGTGTCTGTGTGGAGAAGGACCAGGGACCTGAAATGAATGGGATATTTATTTTTCATCGTGTGCTCTTTTGAACTATTGGCAATATTTCCCATGTTTATATAGCACGTCTGTTTTTCTTATTTATGAAATATTTCAAGCATACAAAGTGAGGATAATAGAGTTAATACTGTTGTATCTAACTGTTGGCTTTGACAAATCTTCCCATTTTGCATAGATGATTGTATCAGGAAAGCCTTCAGTTTCCCACCTGTGTCTTTCCCCTTTACTTCCATACAGAACACTTCTGACCCTCCTGCTCACCAGATGTGGGGGGGGGGGGGGGTCCCCACACCAAGGAAACCTGCAGCGCTGGCCAGGCGTCCTACACTTTAACTGAACTCCTGACACCATTTACCTGGAGATAGAGTCAGACCCCACAGGTTCAGGACTCGGTTCCACAAGACTCCCCCTACTCAGATGCCAGTCGCACGTATAAGGCCCCCAGGTTGCCCACAACTTCTGTCCGACTTGACTACAAGGTTCCCATGACCGTCTCCCCTTTGTATTTGATCATTTGCTAGAACTCATTACTTACGTTTCCCAGTTTATTAAAGGAAATGATAAAGGACACGCTTGAACAGCCCGATGAAGAGGTCCACAGGGTGGGGTCTGGGCAGATCCCAAGCACAGGAGCTTCTGTCCCCATAGAGTCAGGGTGCACACCTTCTGGTACATGGATGTATTCATCAATGGAAGGTCTCCAGACCCTGATTCTTTCGGATTTTCTACAGAGACAATCATTTCATCTGCAAACAAAGAGAGTTTTAGTTCTTCCTTCCAAATCTGTATACTTTTTATTTTCTTGCCTTATATTAGCAAGGACTTCCAGTACGATGTTGAAAAGCAGTGGTGAGAGAGGCCATCCTTGTCTTATACCTGATCTTAGTGGGTGGGTGGGAAAGCTTCGCGTTTCTCACCATTAAGTATGATGTTACTTTTAGTTTTTTCTGAAAATATTCTCTATCAAGTGACGATGTTGCCCTCTCTTCCTAGTTTACCAAGAGTTTTAATCATGATCGTGTGATGCTTCTGGTTTAGCTTATGTGATGGATTTCATTAATTTATTTTCAAAGGGTGAACCAGCTTTGCATACCTACAATGAATCCTACTTGGTTGTGGTATGTAATTCTTTTTAAAGATTGTTGGATTTGATTTGCTACTTTTGTTGAGGCTTTTTGCGTGTATGCTCATAAGGGACATTGGCTGTAGTTTTCTTGTAATGTCTGTCTGGTTTTGATTTGGGGATCAAGCTGGCCTCATAGTATGAGTTGGGAAGTATTCCCTCTGCTTCTGTTCTCTGAGAGAGATTGTACAGAATTGGCATAATTTCTTCCTTAAGGGTTTGGTGGAACAATTAGTTAATTTGGATCAATAAGAGGATCAATCTTGGTAGGAAGGTGCTGGGAGTCTGGATTCCACCATCTGCTCCTCTCTTTTCCCTGAGATACCTGTATGGTTTCCACATAAGATAGTTTGAAATCACTAACGTAGACCACAGATCAACAAAATATTCCTGTAGAGGTCAGGATGGTAAACATTTTAGGCTTTGGGCCACATGGTATCTTTGCCCCATCAACTGAGCCACTGTAGAGCAGAAGCAGGTCCAGATAACACACGCGTCTGAGATGAAAGTGAGTCCATGAACTATTTAGTGAAAGAAGCCAGTTACAAATATCAATACTAATAGAATAGCTAATGCTTATTGAGACTTCTACCTGCCAGGCACTGGGCCCAATGATTTAGGCGCATTATCTGGTTTAATTCTCAGAACCACTCCAAGATAGAAATGCAATGATCTCCAACTTACTGGTGGGGAAACAGCAGCGCAGATGGTTTAAATTTCCTCACCAGGAAGATCTGGAGCGAGGAGCTGAAGCCACGCAGTCTGGCGCCAGAGCCTGAACTTTGAAACGCTAAGCTGCATTGCCTTTATGTTTACCTACACATACTGCACAAGCCTAAGAAGGACCTGGCAGGACATCCACCAAAGAGTAAAAGGATTTCCTTTCTTATGTGGAGAATGGGGGAGGGGTGGTTTAGAAATAAGGTTCTAAAATTGTTTATAATTCTTCCGTATCATCAGAAGTTAGCTACTCCCATTACTAATAACACCAACAAATGAGGTAGGAGGTCTTTTTCTTTTGAGAGACCTGTCCAGCTCTAACTTCCTAGACTTCCTCTAGCACCTGCCATCTCTGGAGGTATCTGGTCTGAGGAAGAGGTGAGGGTGGGAGGGCCTGAGGGGGTTCCGGCCAGGAAGGGGAGTTTGGAGATCTTGGCGACTCCAGGTTGCTCCTCCAGCCCTTCCTACCCCCTCCCTGGCTTCTCTGGCCTCTCTAATTACTAGGAACCTAGAGAGAATCACAGCTTCTGTTTAGACAAAAAAAAAAAAAAAAAACCAAACCAAAACAAAAAACACCCAGGAGTTAGACACCCACAAACATTGGCCTCAGTGAGGGTTGCTTCCAACTTGGGCCCTGGGAGGGGCAGGGACAGCAGAGCAGGGCCTGGTCTGATTTGGGGTGCGGCCTTGCTGAGGGTCCTTTCGCAAAGTGGCAGGGTTCGGAGACACCTTCTCAAACTGCGACATGGAGTGCTGGCCCTGCCTGGGCGCAGCTCGTGCTGGTGCTCTGCGCCTGGGAAGCAGGTGCCGTCGGGGAGCAGAGACTGAGCGACCTGCCCAGGCTCCTCTGTCGGTGACCTTGTGCCCCTGGACTAGTCCGGCTTTTCCATGCTGAGTCGGGAACCATGTGAGCTGGTCAGTGGGCGCCCAGACTGCTTGCCCTTTGCCCAGTTTCCTCAGCTCCCACTATCTAAAGGGCCTCGACAAAGAGGCCAGTGGTGGGGTGGCTGGCAGCTCCGGCTCCGCCTCTGAGGGAGGGCTGAGGAGGGTATTTGGGGATTCCTTGTGGCGTAGAGCGGAGAGGGAGGTGGGAGGAGAAAGGGAAGGCTGTTTGGCCTCCGAGGAACCACCATGGGGAAGGGCTAGACCAGTGATAGCAAACCGATGACACGCATGTCAGAGGTGACATGCAAACTCATTTTTTTGGTTGATTTTTCTTTGTTAAATGGCATTTAAATATATAAAATAAATATCAAAAATCTAAGTCTTTGTTTTGCTATGGTTGCAAAGATCAAAACATTTCTATATGTGACACGGCACCAGAGTTAAGTTAGGGTTTTTCAAAATGCTGACACGCCGAGCTCAAAAGGTTCGCCATCACTGGGCCAGACGGAAGCCCCGTGTGTCACGACAATCCCAGCCCCGTCGTGAGAAGTACCAGGGAGACAGGGGTGAGTTCAACGCCAGAATTTTCCCTCACAGGGCTGCCCAGGGTACAGCAAGCTGCTCCTGGCACTCTCTCAGGAGTGGCATGCAGGATGCAGGTCAAGACTGAGGGCCACCCGGCGGAGGGAGGGGTGTGCACACTGGGCTGGACGACCAGCTAGGTCTTCTCCGTCCCTAAGAGCCTGCAGTGATAACGACAGCAGCCCAGCTGGGCACCCGCTGTGTGCACACATTCTCTCACTTGAGTCTAATAAGAAGGTCTAGTTGCTATTGTTCCTATTTTACAGTCGAGCAAACAAGACCCTAGGCTTTAAGCTACGTGCCCGAGCTCACACAGCTGGTGCACAGCGGGCTGGACTGACCCTCGGCCTGCAGAGCTTGCATTCCTACCCAAGATACAGCCTGCCTCCAGCTGGGCTCTACAGTGCTAAAGGATTAGGGTGCTCGGAGCCCATGATAAGGAGACCCAGGGAGATAATGCTCCTACTCCCAGAGGCTTTGATGTTTTATTTCAAGGCTGCTGTGGGCGGTCATGAGATTTGCAGACCTTCCCCTCTCAGGAAGCAGGTTGGAAACTTGTCCACTTAAACTAAGTGGCCACAGCCCCTAATGCATTCTAAAAGCAGCTCCGAGGGACACTCCCTAGAAATTACAGACCTGGGGTTTTTAAGAGACTGGCACCAATTAAAGGAGAATGCCACCAGAGGGCCACGTCCTGAACAACAACCGCTCACCCCCCGCCCCCCTTCCCCCCCCACCCCACCGCCACGGCGCAGTGCCCAAGGCTCCATTTTTACTTTTCAGTTTGCCAGGGTTGAACAGATCCAGATTTGGATGTTTCGGTTTTCAAATTTGATGTGTGGGATGCCATCATCAAGCATGAGGCACGCGATGGCTCTTAAGTCGAAGTAGTCGCCTGGGCTAGCTATTGTTATGATCCCCATTTTACAGATGAGGAAACTGAGTTGCACAAAGGAATCGGTGACTTTTCCAAGGTGGCGTCATTATTAAGCGGTGGAAACAGACTGAATACAGATGTGCTGACGTCGGAGCGAGGCTTGATGTCGCTGGGCTAGTCCACTGTCTCCTGGGGACCAGACAGGATGGGATGAGATTAATGCGAGGGCTCGAGGGACAAATGTCCCCCAAAGGCAGTTATTGCACGGCCATCCAATACCCCTCAGTGGCTGTTCTGTGCGCCGAGGGACTAGGCGCCTGCCCTGATCCTTGAAGACGGGGAAAGACACGTGGACCAAAGCTTTGCCACAACACAAGCTGGTGGGATAAGCGCTGGGAGGGCCAAGAGGAGAAATAAATTATTTCCAGTTGTGGAGCGTTTCACGGAGGCCGTGGAATGCAAGGGAGGGAAAGGAATCTGCACATGGAGACAAGGCTGAGGCCGAGGCGGGGAGGGTGGAGGCAATCATTCCACACACAGTGGGGCAGCATGAACGAAAGGCACACACCTGGGAGACACAGGAGGCGCGGGAAGGTGGGCCGGGTCAGTGCTGGGGGAAGCACACATCTGCTCCCACTCCCACCCCTACCCCTGCCGAAGCGCCCGTCCTGCTGTGTGATCTCATTTGCTCTGTGGACAGCCAGCTGGGCTGCTGGCAGGCGTGGGAGCGTCTCCAGCTCCTCTGGGGCCTCAGTTGGAAACTTGGATTCAAAGAGCGCCCCAAGAGGCACCGGTGTCTCAACCCTCAGGCGTTCCCAACGGGCCAGCCAGCCTGAACCAGGTCTCCGGGGGAAGCTGTGAAAATGGAAAAACCTCCCCAAGTTCCTGTTCCCAGAGCCTGCAGACACAGACTTCTCCCAGGATGTGCAAATCCAAAGGACACTGCCATCTCGTGGCCCAGAAACCCAGATACCAGGAAGGCTGGGAAAGGCCCTGTGCCCCCGAGGGACCACACAGCCAAAACTGGCTGGGACTGAATTTCACAACGGAACCAAAGTGATGTCGGCATACATTTTAGAGTCAAAACCAAGCCTTGTTTCTGGCTGCCAGGGTCCCTGAGGTGCAGGTGCTGTGTATTGTGCAGATGAGGAAACTGCCTCCTGGAGAGATTAGGCGACTGGTCCAAGGTCACACGTGGCCAAGCACAGGGCCAGGTCTTACCCCAGGGCCCCCAGTCTCTGCCCAATGAAGGATTAATGGTTAAAGCAGTGATTCTCAACGTGTGGTCCCCAAGATCTTTCAGAAGGTCCAGGAGGTAAAAACCATTTTCACAACATACCTTTTTCTCTCCTACAATCATACAGTGAAATTTCCAGAAATTTCTAAGTGCTGTGCAGTGACCTCATCTTGTCCCAATGGCTGATGGGATGTATGCTCTTGTTCTCTTGTGTTTCAAAAATTCCTGTTTTAATTTCTAATATAACGTGGCTCATATATAACCAAAAGCCCTCTGAGACAATAATTTTTAAGAGGATAAATGGGCCTTAGGATAAAAAAAAGTTTGAGAACTGCTGGTTTAAAGAAATATTTCAAAAAATAAAGTTACCCAAACTGAAACATCCCTGTTTTGATCTAGGTGAACCAACTCTATGCTGTGAGGCACTGATTTTTAGATTGGTTGAAATCCTAATTCTTAGGCTGACTGAAATTGTAACTAACGTTTCTACAGATTAATGGAAAACACACACGTGAGTAGAGAATGGCTACTGAGTGATTTCTAACGGGCGGGCTCTACTCCAAGTGATCTACATGTGTCGCTTCATCTCATCGCCAACCACCATCTGCAGGAGATGCTATCATCACATTTTTCCTGTGGACACTGAGGGGATGAGTGGCCCGCCTGAGGAGCACATGTGCTTGGACTCTGTCCCAGGCAGTCTGTCTTCACTGCCTCTTCCCACTTTTTCTGTCTTCAGATGTGACGTTCACTTGATAGGACAAAAGATTTTCAAAATACGGAGTCCAAGGAAGTAGTGAAAAGAAATAAGATCACCAATCTGACCCAACACCTTCACTTTACAGATGAGGAAAAGCGAGGGTCAGAGAGGGTGAGTGACTTGTAAAATATCACACAGCAAAGCATCCAGATCCACTGGGTTTCTTACTCCCCGTTAGGAGCTCTCTGAGCTCCAACCCAAGTAAACACTGCAGTTACCTCCATAGCAATGTGTGAGCAGCACAGCACAGCGCGTAAGCCGGTGACATCAGGACTACATATGAGACAACATCAACAAAAGCAGTTTGACTTTATTGCAGGGAAGCTAGGGAGGGTCTCCGCAGGAACTCCCAACGTTGGGCAGGGGTGCCAGGTTCCAGATCGGCCTGGAAGGCAGGAGAGGAAGAGATGAGACGTTAGGTGCGACAAGGGCGCCATCTGCTGTGCACGTGGACGCATTGCAGAAGCAGTAAAGGTTCCCTAAGAGGCGGTTGTGGGAGGGGAGGTGGGAAACCAGGTGCTGGACAAGACCCAAAAGCTCGGTGTCTAGCCCTGCTCACTGCTCCCAATCTGTGGTTTCCAACTTGACTGGAGCCCAGTAACCTTGCTAAGCCAATCACAGCCCAGGCCTCTTCTGGGGACCTCTGGGGGCGGCTGGGACAGCACTCCCTGTCCTGCTTCAACGTACACTAGGAAGGCAATAAACAGAATCCTGGGCAAGCGAACCTGCCAAGAGATGATCAAGGTGGCTTCCTAACCAACAACCATTCTAGCTCTTGTTCCCAAACCTGAAATCAGCCCCTGGGGGCCCCTAAGCAGACTCGTAAGCAGACTTAGACAGATGGGATGCTGCCTGGGTGTGCAGGTTAAAGCACTTGACTGGCGATTCTCGCCCAGTGCCGTGACCCGAATCTGGGGAGCCTTCCTGTACTACACACGGTTACTGACCTATGTGCAGGTAAAAGCATATGATGTCTGGAATGTTCTGTGGGACAGTATGGGCGGGGGGAGAGGCCATAGATGAAATAATGGTGGCAGTGACTGGACAATGGTTGGATCTGGGTGATGGGTACATGGGGATTCATTTTTACAACCCTACTTGTAGGTGTGTGACACTTCCTATGATTAAAAAAAAATCCAAAATAAATAAATAAAAACTATGAGCATTACCCAGCCACAGAAAGGAATGCAGTACTGACCCATGCTACGCTTGGATGGATCTTGAAAACATGGTGCTAAGTGTAAGAAACCATACACAAAAGGTCACACATTGTATGATTCCTTTTCTATGAAATGTCCAGAATAGGTGAATCCAGAGGCGGAGAGATTAGTGATTGCCAGGAGATGGGGTGGGCGGAGGGCAGTGGGGAGAGACTGCTTAATGGGTACAGGGAATTTTTCCGGGGGTGATGAAAAAACTCTGAATCTAGGGAAAGGTGGTGATTGTACAACATTGTGAATACGCTAAATGCTGATGAATGATACACTTGAAAATGGTTAATTGCGTGTTATGTGAATTTCACCTCAATTTTTAAAAATACTGTGAGAAAAACATTAAGCCAAGCATGGTTTACAACCGGCAGGCCAGGAGCTTCCAATCCATGTGGGCACTGGGCTCCCCATGCGTTTGACCAGCTTGGGAAGCTTTTGTCCTCCCTCCCTCCGTCCATCCCTCAGCGCCGCCCCCCCCCCCCCAACCCCCTACCCCCACAGACACACAGAACCCTAGGGATGCAGGGATAATGACGGACACTGGCCCGCAGCACCTGGAGCTGCCAGCCTCTTCGAGAGATTTCACAGTAACCCCTGCCAGGCAGGAAAGCAGAGGAGAGTTGTAGCCCCATTTTTACAGAAGGGAAGGCTGAGTCTCGGCACGTAAGCAGAAGTGTCCAAGTCACGGTGTGCAATGGGGGCGGGGCTGGAATTCCGACCATTCATCCTGTGCTCACCCTGAATGTGGGTTGTAGCCATGAGCATGTGAGCTCACTCTATGCACAGGACACTGCCCTGGCTCAGATTCCAATGGGCACCTTTAGGAAGGAGGCTGTACTCACGGGGACGGACATGGCCCACCGGTCAGTTGTGGCTGGCCGCCCTACCTAGGGAGTTCTCCACGGGCCACTGGGGACAATGCCACCAGCCATTACAGATCTCAGGTTCAGGATGCCTGACGCCCATCCTGCCTCTGCCACTCACCTGGATGGGGCTTTAGTCACGCCACTTCCCCTCTGCAGGCCTCATTTTCCTTAATCACAGGGATGGCAATCACTGCCATTCACACAGCCCACACACTACGTGGGGCGTGACACCAGGAGGCTGTGCCGTGAAGGGTTCTGAGCTGTGACTGGGCACAGAGGGCATGCTGGATGGACGAGTGCTGTTTGCCCTGGTTCCCTAGGGAAGAGCACTGACACAGTGTCTCTTACTGGCCTCCTGGATTTCAGAAAATCAGTGGGAATATCCAGCTTAGACACATGACTGTTCGGCCTCAGTCTACATACCTACCTGGTCAGCACAGAGCACAAGGCCCAGGGCACAGGTGTCATCTCTGATGGACAGTCAGCTTATCAAAGCAGAAAGCACACTGCTGCCCTAACCGGTCTGGCTCAGTGGATAGAGCGTCGGCCTGCGAACTGAAGGGTCCCAGGTTCGATTCCAGTCAAGGGCATGCACCTTGGTTGCGGACAACCTCTACTCACAGGCGCTGCTAGGGTTCCCTGACACGTGATTGGCATTAGATAATGAACTGTTCTGACGAGGTGCTGGGGCCTCACCCACCTGCCCACTCTGGTCCATCCTGCGGGCCGGGGACCCAGGCCCTCACTATTTGGGGCCGATGTAGGTAACAGTCTTCCCTGTTTTCTTCAGCGTCTCCAACAGAGTGTCCACGTTGTGCTCAGAGTCGATGCAAACCTTCTTGTTGGGCAGATCGATCTCAAATTCAACTCCTGCAGGAAGAGGAAGAAAGAGTTCAGGCTCTGAAAATCTTACTCACAACCACTCTTCCCCTTTCCCCCAGAGCAGGGGTCGGGAAACTCCCTGTAAGGCTGCAGCTTGCTGATCCCTGCTCTAGACCAGGGCTTCTTCTTCTTTTTTTTAAAGTTATAAAGTTAACTCTTATTTTTTAAATATATTTTATTGATTTTTTACAGAGAGGAAGTGAGAGGGATAGAGAGTTAGAAACATCCATCAGCTGCCTCCTGCACACCTCCTACTGGGGATGTGCCCACAACCAAGGTACATGCCCTTGACCGAAATCGAACCTGGGACCTTTCAGTCCGCAGGCCGACGCTCTATCCACTAAGCCAAACCGGTTAGGGCCCAGGGCTTCTTTTAAGTGTCTTTTTAACTGCAAAAGTAGTAGAGACAGCCCTGGCTGGTCTTCTCAGTGGTTAGAGCACTGGCCCGGCACCCAGGAGTTGCAGGTTCGATTCCCGGTCAAGGGCATGTACCTCGGTTGCAGGTTCATTACCCTGTCCCAGTCCAGGTGCATGCAGGAGGCAACCAATCAATGTGTCTCTCTCACAATGCTGCTTCTCTCTCTCTCTCTCTCTCTCTCTCTCTCTCTCTCTCTCTCTGGCATCCCCCCCCCCCCCCGCCCCAATTCTACTCTCTGAAAATCAATGGAAAAAAATATCCTTGGGTGAGGATTAACAACAACAAAGTAATAGAGACACACCATTAAAAAAAAAAAAGTCAAATATTTCTGAATAAATTTTGCAAGTGTAAAGCCCCTACTCTCTTCTACCTCTAGAGATCACTGCAACCAGGGTGGCACTGTCCCATCTTTCTCTCTGACAGACAAAGGGGAAAAAAAGGACTCTCCCAAATGGCATCATACTATATAAACAGGTCTTGCTGAATTCCACTTCCAATGGCCAGGATATCTTGTAGCACATACAGACTTCATCCTCTTATTGTTGAAAGCAACATATGCCCCCCTCCCCAACCCCTCAATGACCCCTTCTAGCCTGCCCCCGCCCCTCCCTATTTCATTTTTTCTTTTCTTCTTAAAATATATTTTATTGATTTTTTTTACAGAGAGGAAGGGAGAGGGATAGAGAGTTAGAAACATCGATGAGAGACAAGCATGGATCAGCTGCCTCCTGCGCACCTCCTACTGGGGATGTGCCTGCAACCAAGGTACATGCCCTTGACAGGAATCGAACCCAGGACCCTTCAGTCCGCAGGCCGACGTTCTATCCACTGAGCCAAACCGGTTAGGGCTCATTCTTTTTCTAACAGCTACACCGTGTCCCATAGTGTGGACATACCCACGTCTACTCAATCCCCTGCTGAAGGACACTGAGGTTGCTTCCAGTTCCTCACTCTTCCCACAACAATGATATAGTAAACGTAGTGAACGTATCTTATAAAGCCTGTGAAAATATTTCTGTCCCAAGCATTCACAGAATCGAAATCGTGGGGCACCTTCTCGATGTTAATTGCTATTGCAAAATTGCCCTCTTCGAGGGCTGTGCCAACTTAAAGCCCCCGGGCGGCACATGGGAGTATGTAGAATGGGTCTTGTTGAGACAACAGAATGCAGAGGGAGGGCCCTTGGCAGGTTCTAGGTGTGGCTTCACCACTGACTTGCTGGGTCTTGCCTAGTATAGGCCTCAGTTTCCCCCTTTGTACTGAAGGAGCTGGGTTGGCCAGCTGCTATGCTATGGTCTTTCCAAGTTCAAGTATGCTATTCGTCTGTGATTCCTCAGGGTCCCAACCAACTTGAAAGCCTTTGGACCCATCACAAGAGGCCGCCCAAATGAGGGAAAGTAGTGAAAGGTGGGGAGAAACCTGCCCAAATTCAAGAGCAGATCCCCAAGCCTCTGTCAACAGGACTTAACAATCACATGGCACAAGGTTTAGTGCCTGAATTTGTATCTAATGAGACCTGGGGTGGGTGGGCGCTATAATGTATCCGTGCTGCACGCTGGGCTTTTGTCTTTTGGTTCAGGAGTGTCTCCCTCCTCTCTGGAATGAATGTTTTGGTGTAATAGAGCTGGAAGAGGCCCTGGGGCCATCTAACACAGTGGATTTCAAATTGTGTTCCTTGCCGCCCAGGTTCCTGGCCAGGTGTCCTCATGTCCAAACTGGCCCTTCTGAGCAGATGCTCACTCAGGGAACCCACAGCAAAAGCAGACACAGGCTGACATTCCCATGTTACAGCCGGGAAACTCAGGCCGGGGGGAGAAGAGGCCGGTCAGGTGAAAAGTCAGCAGCTAGGTTCTTTCCACTGTTTCTTTCAAATTAAGATTCTAGTTACTGGACGAGAAACCAGCCAGTGACTCACTGTGGGAATCTGGGCAAGTCACTTCCCCTGGGGGCACTGGTGTCAACATCCCCGTTCCACAGGTGGAATGCACCGCAGAGGGCCTGCTGGAAGGGCTGCCCAGAGCACATCCACGCGGAAGCCCTTTGGAAATGGGGTGTTATCATCACCTAGGGTTTTAAAAGTGAAAATCTTGGAAGACTGACTGCCCAGCACTACCAGAATTCTGTTCGCAGCTCCGTCATTACTTCATGGAGCCCCAGGGCCAGCCCTCAGCCCTCTCTGGGCCTCGGTTTCCCCAGCTGAGAGTTGAGGGAGCTGAATGAGAATACAGGTTTTCTAAATGTGTCCAAAAGAGGTGCTTTAGGAGTTCTACCCATGACTGATTCAAAGAAAATGAATATGAAAATGACACTCCAATGTGTCATATAACCAAAGTGATCCCAGTGGAGATCACCAACATACTAACTAGTACTGACAAGGGCTCTGGAGCTGGACGGCAAGGCCAAATCCCAGCTCTGCCATGTACTGGCTACTGGCTGTGTGATCCCAGGCAAATTACTCAACCTCTCTGAACTTCAGTTCCCTCCTGCTATAACAGAGATAGTGTAAGAAGCTACCTAGCCCCAGCCGGTTTGGCTCAGTGGATAGAGCATTGATTCCAGTCAAGGGCATGTACCTGGGTTGCAGGCTTGATCCCCGTGCAGGAGTCAACTAATCCATGTGTTTCTCTCTCTTTTTGTCTCTCCCCCCTCCCTTCCACTCCCTCTAAAAAAAAATCAATGGAAAAATATCCTTGGGTGAGGAGTAACCAAATAAAAAAAGAAGCTCCCTAAATGGTGGTGAGGATGAAATGAAAGCCAGTAAGCAGAGTACCTGGCACATGTTAAGCACTCAATACATCTTAGTTGTACTGTTATTATCTAGCAGCTTCAACCCCAGCTTCTCCTGCTCCACGTCTGCATGCATTTGAACACAAAATGAAGTTTATCGGCCTCCCCCACCTCACCCCCAACCGAGGGCCGCTCACTCACCTCCTAGCTTGTTGAGGACCCGAGCGACTGCGTTGGAGCAGCCTTCACAAGTCATGTCTACGAAGAACTCGTGCTTCTGAAATAAACAAAGGGGACCGTGAGCCAAGACCTGCAGGGAGACCCACATACCCCACCAGCATGCAGGCCCATTCACGGGCCAAGACACGGGCCAAGGCCTGGCTGTCGTCAGACTCACCCATCGCCTGTTTCTTCAAAATGGAGTAACTAAGGATTTCTGTATCTCGCAGGCTGCTGCACTAAGTGAGATAATCCCTACAACTCCTTTCGCAGTGCCTGGCACTCAATGAGTTCAATCAGCTGGGAAGCTAGTTTAAAGTGTCGGTTTCCGCCCGAGCTGGTTTGGCTCAGAGGATAGAGCGTTGGCCAGCAGACTGAAGGGTCCTGGGTTCGATTCCAATCAAGGGCACGTGCCCCGGTTGCAGGCTTGATCCCCAGTAGGGAGCGTGCAGGAGGCAGCTGATCAATGGTTCTCTCTCATTGATGTTTCTATCTCTCTCTCTCTCTCTCTCCCTTCCTCTCTGAAATCAATAAAAATATATATATATATATTTTTTAAAGTGTTGGTTTCTAGTCTCACCTTTAAAATCCTGATTCTTGAACTATGTGGCTATCTCAGGACCATCGACTCTGACATGGGTGGACGCCCATCCTCAGAGCCATGCTGGTCTGGTGGTCTTACTTATGCATCGAATATCACCTGCATTAGAATCACCAGGGAACTTGCAAAAACTATAGGTTCTAATCAGCAAGTGTAGGCTGGGGTGTCTACAAGGGCTAGGAAGCTCCCCTGGTGATTCTGATATACAGTGACCACTGCTCTCATCCAAATGCCTCATTCTCAGAGGCAGCCCCTAAAGCCTGGGGAGTGGATTTGCACGGGCTCCCAGTGAGTCGGAGGGCAGACCACGGAGGGAACCCTGGCTCCTGGCTGCTTCATGCAGGCCCGACACCCACAGTCTCCACGATATCCAACACACTGAACTCCCAGACGACAGAGACTTCGTCCACTTCACTGCTGCATCCCCAACACAGGCACCGCTCGGAGATATTGCAAGTATGACTCCAGACCAGCACAGTATGGTGAGTGTCGCAATAAAGCAAGTTGTGATCTTTGCCTGGAAAGGCAGCTGGTCACCTTATTTTACTCAGGAGGAAACCGGAGGTTCCCAGGGGTTCAATTGCCCACAGTCACGTGGCAAGCATGTGCTGAGGCTGGGATGTGAACCCAGGCTTTCCTGGCTCCAGGGACATCCTGTTGGTTCTGGACCAGCAATCAGCACTGCCACTTACCACTCTCCCCCCGACCTTCACCCCCAACCCTGACTCTTAGCAGGAGCTCTGGGAGTGGGCACAGCTTGTGAGGTAGCATGAGTTTCTGCTGCCCAAGGGTCTAAATCACCAGATATCTGAAGCTTTCTTCTGCAGACCACAGACAGGTCTCCTTTCATCCTCACAGTGCAGCGGCCAGAAGCCAGCAGGAGGCTTCTGGGTGGCAAACATGACATCCCAGTGTTCTCCCCCTCCACTCGAAGTGCAAAAGTAAATTTGGGGGTGGTGGAAAATCTACTTAACGGGCAGCATACGCCATTCTTCACAGAGAATCCCAAGACCGGCCCACCACCGAACGCTTGACTTTGCACAGTTCCAGCCCCTCAAAGCCTCTGATCTGTACCTGAAAATGGGTCCTTTAAAGTCGATGAAAAAATCCAGTAAGTTGTACAACTCTTTCACAGAATCTCAGAAACTGGGAAGGCGGGACTAGAGTGGGGTCACATTGTCCAGCTCCCCTCCCAGAAGGAATTCTTTCTCAACTCTCCAAGACAGTCAGTCTTTGAACACCCCAAATCCTGGGAGCTTACTACTGGTAATACTTGAGTGCCTCCTCTGTGCCAAACACCTTCTGTGAATTACACCGTTTAATCATCACAAGAATCCCATGAGTTAATCACTACAATTATCCCTTCCTGACAAATAAGAAAACTGAAGTTCAGAAGTTTGGCCACTCACTCAGTGTGACATAGCTAGTGAGTACCAGGGCCTACACCCACCGGACATAGTCTCCAAAGCCTAAACTTAACCACTGTGATCCCTGTGTTAAACTGGGGTTTGAAATCTGCCTGCCTGTAGTTCTACCCTACTTGTCCCAAATCTACACAGGAGCTACCATTTCTTGTGGCCTAGCTATGTCAGTGGGTGCCAACCATTTTAGTGGCATTTTTCCAGTTAACACTAACAACTCTCCTGAGAGGTCAGGTTTGTTTGTTTTGTGTGTGTTTTTTTAAAAATATATTTTGATTGATTTCAGAGAGGAAGGAGAGGGAGAGCGATAGAAACATCAATGATGAGACAGAATCATTGATCGGCTATCTCCTGCACAACCCCCACTGGGGATCAACCCGGGCATGTGCCTTTGACTGGAATAGAACCTGGGACCCTTCAGTCCGCAGGCTGACGCTCTATCTACTGAGCCAAACCATCAAGGGCCTGGGAGAGCAGTTTTAATCCCCATTTTACAGATGAGGAAATCAAGGCACAGAGAAGTAAAGCAGCTTAACTGAGGTCATCTGGCTGGCAAGCGGGAGCACAGATTTTCAGAAAGGTTTCTGAGATCCCAAGTGCTTGGGAAACCTCTTGGGTGACAGTCCTCCGCCTCCTTCCTTCAGCTGTTCATCTCGTGACATGGAACCAAGTGCCCTCTGTTCTGGTCATCCCTCTGAAGGGTCTCTTGTTTGTCAAAATCCCCAGAAGTGAACACAGAATAGTGATTCTCCGGCTGGCCTTCCTCTCACTGCCACGCCCCTGAGAAACCTGGCGGCCTCCATGATCCTGGTCCCAGGGTGATTAGTGCTGTTCTCTAACATTTGCTCAACTGGGAGGGCTGATCCTGTCAGGCTCTTAGTTCATACTTTGTGTTGTCTGAGGATTTGTCTCAAGGCACCTGCCAAGACCCAAGGGAAATGACACCTGAGATGTTTGTGGCTGGGCCCAGGGGGACTCTGGCTCACCTGCCAGCTTCCCCAAAGCTCGGCTGCTAAGACACAGGGCATCTGTGAGACACCTCTGAGTGCTCGCTGGGGGCAGAGCTGAGAACTAGGCACTATGGGGGGAAGTGCTGAACACCACATGACCCAACCAGGACCCCTAGGATGCAACTGGGATGGAAGCTTCCTCCCTGGCCAGCGTGACTACTTCTGTCTGCGCATGGCCAGGCCACAAGAGACTGGGAGTCTGAAGATAAGGGGATTAATGCTGGCTCCATCTGACTCCCAAGACCTTGAGTCAGTTACGGGCTTTGGTGTTTTGTTTTTTGTATTTGCAAAAGGCCTTAATTTCTTTTTTTTAAATTTTCAAATTATAAGAGAAAGTTTATTTAGAAAGTTACAGAGGTAGTAGGAGTGAGCCAGCTGGGCTTCTGAAACAAGTTACAGAAGCAAAAGAAGGGCCCTTGGAGCTTAGGAGAGAAAGGTAGGGGGCCTGGGGGGAAAGGAGGGAAGAAGAAAGGGACGGGAAAGGCAGGGAGTGTGCTCCCGAGAGGGAAAGTGAGCCAGAAGGCCTTAATTTTTTTTTTTTTAAAGTTTTAAAAATTGATTTTTAGAGAGAGGAAGGGAGAAGGAGAGAGAGAGAAACATCAATGTGAGAGCAATATGTCAATCGGCTGCCTCCTGCAAGCCCCCTCAGGGATAAGCCCGCAACCGCATGTGCCCTGATCAGTAATGGGTCCGGCAATCTTCTGGTGCCAGGGAGTCGCCCAACCCACTGAGACACACCGGCCAGGGCATGACCTTAATTTCTTATCTACAAAATGAGGCCAGGAGCAACCTGAAATATGCGGAAAGGCTGAGTGAGCTGCACAGACCAACGAAGACCTGCTCATTCCTTCCCAACTCTGCCACTGAGCAACTGGAGACTTTGGGCAGGTCCCTGACCCTCTCTGGGGCTCATGGGATCAAGTTCAGAAAGTGGTAAAAGGACTGGGTCCATTCAGTGTCTCCCTGTACAGAGTGGGCGGGGAAGGGAAGAAAAACACGGACCTTTGAAAACCTGCCGCGTCCGAAAGGCAATGGCCACCCCCCCCCCCTCCACCCCCCCACCCCCGGCCGCCCCTGTTTCCCAGCCAGCTCCCCGGACAGGCGTGGCCAGGTGGGGGGCGCAGGGACCGGGACCAGGTCCGGTTCGCCACCCACTCCCGGGTGAGCTCGGGCTGCTCTCTTTCCCCGTCTCTGCAGGGAAGGACTGGGCTTGTAATCGCTGGAGGCCTTGCAGTTCCGATGCTTTGCAGCCTGACTTCCACATAAAACCCCTTTCACATTCGATTTCCCGGAGCGGCGCCGAGGCAGGGGCTGGGTTGGGGGTTGGGGGCTGGGAAGAGGGGCGCTCGCTCCGGCTGCGCCCGAGCCCTGGATGAGCAACATCTGGCCAAGCAGCTGTGCAGCCGAGGCGCCAGCCGGGGCGGCGGGCTGCGCTGGGCCGGGGCGGGCGGCCACTTACCGGCATGACCGAGGGCGGCGGTGGGCGGCGGCAGCGAAGCTTCTCGGGGTTCCGAACGCTGGAGCTGCTGTTTCCGGGCGTGCGCGCCGGGGAGCCGCCCCGCAGGCCAGGCCCCGCCCCCGCCCCCGCCCCCGCCCTCCCCGGGCAATTAGGCCCCGCCCCCGCCCCGGCCCTCCCCGGGCAGTTAGGCCCCGCCCCCGCCCCGCCCCCGCCCCCGCCCTCCCCGGGCAGTTAGGCCCCGCCCCCCGCCCCGGCCCGAGCCGTCCGGCCGCGGTTGGCCACTCCGCCTCCTTCCGGCGGGCGCGGCCGGGACACCCGCCACTTCTGAGCGAGGCGTCGGCGACCCGCGCTGCCCTCCGCCGCCTGCGGGCCTTTCTTAGAAAGCTTGCTTCCTCCCAGGGCTGCGTTAGGGGCTGGGATGCAAGGGCCCCTAGGGACCCGGACAGACCCCGTCCTTCCCTAAAGGGACAATCTCAGGTGTTCACTCGGTCACTATTATGAGTCCCCAGCTGGCTAGGCATCCACAGTGCAGAAGTGGAAAAGACACAGCCGAGTGGGGAGCCAAGGAAGCGTGCGTGGGGTTGCAGTGTGAACGGAGTCGTGTCATGGGAGCAGGAAAAGCTAACGCAGACCGGAGTGTGCGTGGTGGGGGCACGAGAGGAGCAGGTGGTTCTGGAAGAGGGGAGACTGCGCAGGAGGTGATTGCTGAGCGAAGGGACGAGTGTGGACACCTTCATCTGGCCTGGGGAGGAAGATCCTTCCCTCCACTTTCCAAGGTTCTTTCTGCTGGTCTAATAATTAAGTTGTCATGAGACAGATTAATGGAAGAAATAACCCCATTTAGTAACGTATCTATGTCTGGGAACCCCACACACACGAGAGAGTCAGAGACCCCATGTCCATGAGCATTCTGAGATATGGGAAATGCCGAATCTATGACATTCTGAGCTAAGGATGAGGTCAAGTATTTGGGGCTTCCAAAGGCAAGGAAGGTCATTCTCAGAATGGGAAGAACAGGAAAAAAAAAAAAAAAAAAAAAAAAAGAGCAGAAGTTCAGCAATTAGAAGTTTGCCCTAACATATAGATAGGTCATAGAAAGTTATTTCTGGTCATAAATCTTATTATGGGCAAGATCCCTAATTTAAATCCTTCTAGGTAGTGGGGGGCGGGGGCACAGAAGTTTCTCTTGAGTGTAACAGGACTCCGTTGTCCTTTAGCAGAAAATAAGCCACATATCAAAGAGGCTCTTCTTGGGGTAACTCATTGCGAGGCCCTACGTGATGAAAAGAGGTGAGAAATCTGGGAAGGAGGGAGGCGGCAAAGTAGCAAGTGCCAAACTTGGAAGACAAGTGTGAGAATGGGCTGAAAGGTGGAGATATTCAGACAGAGGCAGACACAGAGAGCGGGGAATGAAACAACAGCCACGGGTGAAGACAGATGGAGGCAGGTGTGGGCACTTCCAGAGAAACAGGCCAACATTTGGAACTTCAGACACACCCACACACACACACACTCTACCAAGGTGGTTCTGTCCTTGGAATATCCAAGGATTCTGCCAAAGGGGCTCAGTCTATGTAGTTTCAAAGAATTCTCCATCCACAGAGTGCGTGGAGAGCTTATCAAAAACTCAGATTGAGCCCACGCTGGGCAGCTCAGTTGGTTAGAGCATCGTCTGGATATGCCAAGGTGACAGGTGCAATCCCCAGTCAGGGGCACATACAAGAATCAACCATTGCCCGACCGGCATGGCTCAGTGGTTGAGCGTCGACCTATGAACCAGGTTATGGTTGGATTCCAGGCCAGGGCACATGCTGGGGTTGCGGGCTCAGTCCCCATTGGGGGGCATGTAGGAGGCAGCCAATCGATGATTCTCTCTCATCATGGATGTTTCCATCTTTCTCTCCCTCTCTCTTTCTCAATAAAAATCTATTTTTTAAAAGTTATTATTTTTTAAAAAGAATCAACCAATGAATAAATATGTAGAACAAATCAATCTCTCTCTTTCTTTCTCTCTCTCCCATCCTCTCTCTCAAATCAATTAAACACACACACACACACACACACACCCCAAAAAACCTCATATTTCTAGCCCTGGTTGGGTAGCTTAGTTGGTTAGAGCACTGTCCCAATACACCAAAGTTGCAGGTTTGATCCTTGGTCAGGGCACATATAAGAATCAACCAATGAATGCATAAACAAGGGAAATAACAAATCAATGTTTTCTCTCTCTCTCTCTCAAATCAATATATAAACTTTTTTTAAAAACCCTCAGATTTCTAGGCCTCACCCTGGATACATTGCCCCTGAATTTCAAGGCCTTACTTTTAGTCTCCCTCCTCCTTTTGGCTTTGGGAACCACTAGATGAAGAAAACTATAATTTTAACACATGAAACCTTTTTGAGAAAGCGTGCTGGTTATTGTCTCTCAGCTCCAATTCATCCTTTTTGCCTACTCTGTGAAAATGGATCCGGACCATTACATTTTTTCCCTTTGCCCACTGGCAGGATGTTAAGCTTCCTCAGGCAAGTTTTTGTAGAGACACTGGGAGGGGAAAGGTTTTCCTTCCTGGCTTCAGTGCTCCCTGAGGCATGTGTGGCTGCCCCAGGCCCAGCGTCTGAGCATGGCTTCTCCAGCACCAGGCTCCTCCTGTGCAGGGGGACCAGCAGCACCTAGCAGCCAGCAGCTTTCCCCAGCACCTACCCGCCTTGTGTGCTTTCATAGCCCAGTGCCTCCGATGAGATGCCTCTTTCTGTGAAGAACTTTTCCCAGCATCTTCCCAGGTGGTTTCCCAGCCCAGAGGGTGAATGTCTAGCAAGTTCCACCACCAGGGAGTTCAGTGGGCCAAGCCTGAATCTCAGCCGAGGGGTGGTGGTGGGGTTGTGGGGTTGGGTGTGTGTGTGTGTGTGTGTGTGTGTGTGTGTGTGTGTGTTGGGGGGGGGGGGGTTCTTCCTTAGGCGTTCTACCTTACTATCTTGGCTACCTAGTGTTCTATCGTTTCGTTGTTCCATAGTCTATTTAACCAGCCCCTATGGCAGAAACCATTGGTTGGCTCATCCAGCACTCATTTCCAATCTTTTTACTCTTGCTTCTCTATAGGCTAGATCTCTCAATACTTGCTTTCCCATCCTCCCTTGCAGCCAGTCTGCCCATCTGCTATGGCTCTGGACGAAGCGGAAGTCTGGAAGGAGTCTAGAAGCTTAGAAGAGGCTTTTGGGAAAGGACTTGCTTTTCTCACAAGGAGAACAGACACCACTCCTTCCCCTTCCTGCCTAGAATACTGATGCGGTGTCACCAGTCATGTGGTTTAGACCTCCAGACCTTTTCCTCCCTGGGGATAACATCTAGGCCTCAGCTGTATTTCAGCTCCAGGCCCAGAAAAGCCAGATAAGTGATGCCATGGCTGCCTCAGGACCAGCTGCATTGACCAATCGGTGGAGACATGACCCTGAAAGGACACACCTGGAAAGCTGATGAATATTCTATGGAGACCCTTCCCTGAGACCTCCCCAAAGATTCCCACGGGCCAGAGAGAGATACATACCCCCAAGCAAAGGACCCATTGGGAGTTCTCTCTCCAGGGAGCACATCCGTGCCATTCCCTTCCCTTTCTCCCTTCCCCACAGGCATGTATCTCCTAAACTCCAAAGGACCCCCAGGAAACTTGCAACCAGGGGAGCAATGGGCAGTAGTAGCTCATCCCGGGCTAACCCCCTGAACCTGTCTCCAAGGCCCCGTTTTCTCTGACTTCCCAGTGAGCCAGAGCAGCCCAGCCTGGGCTCTCCTGTTGCTTCTTCCATGCCCTTCTTTGTTTCACTCCCCTAAGTATATTTCTGCTACAGCCAATACATTCTGGCTTGCTTTTCTACATGTTGTCTCTTGATGGAAATCTTTCCTCCAAGAAGACAAGAACTGAGGTCTCATCGTCTCACCAGTAACAACTAGACCAGGGTTTCTCTATTGACTTTTTGGCCAGATAACAGGTGGTCATGGGGGGCTCTCCTGTGCACCCCTGGCCTCTGCCCACTGGATGCTAGTAGCACCTCTACCCAGTTGTGACGAGGCCATAGGTCTCTTGAGGGCAAAATCTTCCCCGCGTTCCCCACCTTGAGAACAGTGCTCCAGACAATTCACTGGTGGTAAATTACTCACTGAACATTTCCTAAGCATCGCAGGGGTGGGCAAACTTTTTGACTCGAGGGCCACAATGGGTTCTTAAACTGGACCGGAGGGCCGGAACAAAAGCATGGATGGAGTGTTTGTGTGAACTAATATAAATTCAAAGTAAACATCATTACATAAAAGGGTACGGCCTTTTTTTTTTTAGTTTTATTCATTTCAAACGGGCCGGATCCAGGCCGTAGTTTGCCCACGGCTGATAGCGTCTGGGTCCTGAGGGTAGGATGTGAGTAGGGAAACTATCACAAGATGTCAACCCCCTCTCTCCTATGGAAGACAGCCAACAGCCACCTGAGGTCTTGTCCACATTCCCTCTCCGGTAATCCCTCCGGCCCTCCCTTCCTTTCTTCCTTCCTTTCTTCCTGTCTTCTTACCTCCTGTTGCTCAACACAGTACATAACACACAGTCTCAATGTAAAACTTTCAAATACTCATTGCTTCCAACCTAGGGGATTCCCTAGGGGAAATGGCTATTGTTTTATTTACTTATTTATTTACTTATTTATTTTTCTTAATTTTACACCAGCGCAACCTACATGGTTGCTTTTTCTATAGTTTTAAATTTAGAAATTTCCCTTTGCACTTAGATTTTGGATACTGATCCATATCTGTACAATTCTATCTCGTTCTCTTTTAATCTGCTGCAGAGGGCCCTGGCCGGGTTGCTCAGTTACAGTGTCATCCCATACGCCAAGGTTGGGGGTTTGATCCCAGGTTGGGTACATACAAGAATCAGCCAATGAATGCATAAATGAGTGGAACAACAAATAGATCCTTCTCTCCCCCTTGCTCTCTCGCTCGCGCTCACCCTCTTAAATAAAGAAATAAAAAAATTTAAACTGCTGCAGAGTATTCTATATTACATGCATATCAACAGTTTGTAAACTGATGAGCAATTACTTTTGCAGTGTAAATAGTCTAACAAAGCTGACAATACTG